AACCCGGCCACCCACCCCCCCCGGCAGCCCGGTCAGGCCCTGGCGGACCCCGGCCCCCCCCCCCCCCGGCAGCCCGGTCAGGCCATGGCGGCCCCCCGCCCTCCTCCCGCGATCTCCGTCTCGGTCTCGGCTCCGGCTTTTTACGCGCCGCAGAAGAAGTTCGGCCCGGTGGTGGCCCCAAAGCCCAAAGTGAACCCTTTCCGGCCCGGGGACAGCGAGCCTCCTCCGGCAGCCGGGGCCCAGCGCGCACAGATCGGCCGGGTGGGCGAGATCCCCCCGCCGCCCCCGGAAGGTATGTGGCTGGGCTTGGGGGTGGACCCCGGCCGGCGCCGGGGTGGGGACAGTGGCCTCGGGAATCTGGGGGTGTCTGGGAAGGTTGCTGAGGAGGGGGCTGGGCGCAGCCACCCTGTCCCGAGCAGATGTTCTTACCTCATCGTGGAGCTCATGGCTGGGAGCCAGGGCTCCTGGGACCGTTCCAAGTCCCCCGCCTGGGGGTGGGAGGCGGGAATGTGGGCCATGAATCTCCCCCTCTGGGTCCGTTTTCCGAAGTGTAACGGGAGCTGCACCACTCCTTTCCTGACCGCTGCTCCCGGGGCGCCCTGCGTCTCTTTCCCTTCCTCACACGCTCCTGGACCCCAAGAGGGTGCTTGGGTTAGGGGTTGGAGCCGTAGAAGTAGGGGGACTTGGAGAACGGGTGGAGGGGTCCCTGCCGACGGCCCTCTCTGTCCTTCCTACCCCAGACTTTCCCTTACCTCCTCCTCCCCTCCTTGGGGATGGCGACGACGCGGAGGGAGCTCTGGGAGGTGCCTTCCCACCTCCCCCTCCCCCGATCGAGGAAGGCTTTCCCCCTGCGCCTCTGGAGGAGGAGATCTTCCCATCCCCGCCGCCTCCCCTGGAGGAGGAGGGAGGGCCTGAAGCCCCTATACCGCTCCCACCACAGGTATGGAGGCCTGGGAGGGGGCTTTTTTTTTTTTTTAAACCTCCCCTGCACCTCTGCCCTGTTGGGGGGCTGTGGAGGAGTGGGATGGGTGCTCTGACCCTTGACCATCCAGCCCAGGGAGAAGGTGAGCAGTATTGACTTGGAGATCGACTCTCTGTCCTCACTGCTGGATGACATGACCAAGAATGATCCCTTCAAAGCCCGGGTAAGGGAGGCGACAGTAGGCAAAGCAGGGCCTCAGGGAGGAGAGGCTGGGGATAAACTGTGGAGGGCACTGTCCTCCTCTAACTGCTCTTCTCTCCCGCCCCTCCCTTTGCAGGTGTCATCCGGATATGTACCCCCACCAGTTGCCACTCCATTTATTTCCAAGTCCAGTACTAAACCTGCATCTGGGGGCACAGCACCCCTGCCTCCTTGGAAGGCCCCTTCTAGCTCCCAGGCTCAGTCTCAGCCTCACCGGATATGTACCCCCACCAGTTGCCACTCCATTTATTTCCAAGTCCAGTACTAAACCTGCAACTGGGGGCACAGCACCCCTGCCTCCTTGGAAGGCCCCTTCTAGCTCCCAGGCTCAGTCTCAGCCTCCGAGCCACACACAGTTCCATGTCCAGCCCCAGGCCCAGCCCCAGGCCAAGTCTCAAGGCCAGCTCCACGTCCAGTCCCAGCCCCAGGCCCATCTCCAGCCTGTGTCTTTGGCTAACACCCAGCCCCGAGGTCCTCCAGCCCCATCTCCACCTGCAGCCCCTAAGTTTTCTACAGTGACAACCAAGTTTACTCCTGTGGCTTCCAAGTTCAGCCCTGGAGCTCCAGGTGGACCTGGGTCACAGCCCAATCAAAAATTGGGGTTCCCGGAAGCTCCTTCTTCCACTGGCACAGGCTCCCCTCAACCCCCCAGCTTTACCTATGCTCAGCAGAGGGAGAAGCCCCGAGTGCAGGAGAAGCAGCACCCAGTGCCCCCACCGGCTCAAAACCAAAACCAGGTGAGAGACTGCTGTAGGATAAGGCTGAGACCAGAGGCCTGGGGGTGGGGCCAAGCCAGGAGTCAGAGATAACGATGAAGGTGACCTGAGAGAATTGGACCCTGGAAAGTTGGGGTGGGCATGGGGGCAGTGGGATAGGAGTTTTCGTCCTGTGGGGTTAGATTGGTGGGACAGTGGTAAGAGGAAGCTCTTCTGGAGGAAGAGCCTGGCAGGACCTGGGGCTAGGTGGGGCCTAACTGGGAGTGGGCAGAGCAGTACAGCCTCTGAATTATGGGGATTTGGTGGCCCTTCTCTGGCACCTTTGTCCCCCAAATGTTAAAGGGGGGGATGAGATCACCAGTCCAACCTTGTTTTTTTCCCATTCTTGGGTCGTGAGTTAATTTCATTCCTCTGAGCACTTTTACTGCTCCAGGGCCTATCTGGAGATAAGAGTCACAGCACAGTAAACACTGGCTGAGCCAGCATCAGCTGAGTGCCAGGCACTGTGCTCAGAATGCTGGGACACAGGAGGGAAGAGATCTCTCAGAGAGGTTCAGCCTTCGGAAGTCGGATGGGATAGAATTCCTAGGATAGAATTCCCAGCAGCCTCTCCCAGCTGTTAGACCCTAGGCAAGTTAGGTGAACCCTGAGCCTCACTTTCCCCATCTTTAAAATAACAGTCTATTCCATATAATGGTTGTGAAGGTTAAATGAGCTAATGTCTCCTAATTCAGGAGACTAGGTCTTTCAGGTTGAAGGGACCCTCATGGTCACCTAGCCCACCCATCCACAGAGTCAACTGATAGCGTGGATGTCTGCGTGTACTCAGACCCAACTTAGGAAGAAATGCCAAGTGCCAGTGAGTTTTGCAGAATCCTGAGTTACAGAACTTAGAACAGGGAGTCAACATGGGGCTGGCAAGTTAGGAAAGGCTTCATGGAGTCGGTGTGCCTTGAAGGATGGGCAGGATTCAAGAATCCAGAGAGGAGAGAGAATGGCATTCCGATGGGAATAGCATGAGCAATACTCAGGGGCACAAATGCACAGGGTGTATGGAGAATAGAAAGTAGAAGGTTCCTGTGGGAAAATTATAGAGCTATTCTTAGAGAGGCAGGTGGGGGCTGGAGGAAGTGGGAAAGGAAATGGCACACCAAGGGAGCCTGTGAATGCTGGAGAGGCATTTGTGATTTTTCACTGGGTGTGTGGCCGTGTCGGGAGGGCTGGTGAAAGTAGTGCTTTGGGAAGCTTTCTGGAAAGTTTTTCCAGCAGAGATGTGTTTTAGTGGTCAGGAGGTCAGTGATGTGTGTGAGTTCACTCCTGGGCAACGGTAACATTACTTGGAATGAAAAATAAGACCCACATATGAAAGCTGTTAGGAAGAGCCTACAGGACGCAGCAACTGATAAGCAGATGGAAGAGGAGGGGAAGGGGGAAGAGAGAAAAAAAATGCCAGAGAGGGTCTGAGCCTGGGTGTGTTGGGGAATGACAGTATTGCTGACAAAATAGAGAAGTCCAGAAAAGGAAATGGTGTGGACGGGAAGAGGAGGGGTCCAGCTGTCAATGTGTTGAGCAACAGGTTCGAAGATGACTTTCGTTCAGCTGGAATTGGCATCCAGTTAGAAATAGAGGACCTGGTTTCAGGCCCCCAACTGGAGGGGGTAGAGGTGTATACAGGTGGTAGTTGTGCACAGTGATCTAAGCAGTGGGAGCCCACGAGGCTTCCCAGGGAGTGCGCAGAGGGGAGAGCTGAGGGCCTGGAAAGGACCTTAAGTCGTGCTCGTGCTGAGCTGGGGCGAGGGGAAGTGGAGCCCACAGAGAGGATGGAGACTGGCTTGAGGAGGAGGCACAGGCAGGGTGGGATCACGGAGACAGAATGTGATGACGCAGGAGCTCTTCGGCCAGAGATTTGACCATTAGGAAATCATGGATGTCCTTGGGGAGGCTGGTTAGCTCTGTGGTGGGGACAGATGGAGGGAGCTGAGGAGTGAGTGGGTGGTGAGAAAATGTAGTTGCTAGTGTAGACTGCTCTCAAAGGTGGGCCGGGCAAAGCGGGACTAAGTAAGGGAACAACTGTGTGTGTGTGTATGTGTGTGTGTGTGTATGTATGAGGGGGAGTTTATGCGTGTATGGTTTTTTCAAGTTGGGGAGAAGGGCTCAGGTGTGTGTGTAAACCAGCAGAAGAGGCCGATGGAGGAGGCTTAGTGCCACTTGAGCGCGGGGACTGTTGGGGGATGCAGTCCTGGAGGGGAGCCTGGTGACGTTCCCCAGAGAGTGAGGACAGGGTGACTGCAGTATTTGCTGTGGAGAGGAAGGACGATCAGGGAGCTTGGACTGGCTAGCGTCCCTCTTCTCAGTCACATAGGAGATGAGGTCATTGGTGAGAGTTGGGGGCACTGGGGCTGGGGCCCGAGGAGGAAAGGTTTGGAACAGCTGCTGTGGGCGAGACAACTGGGAATCCGCAGATACCAGACAGGGCTGCGGGGCTGGAGCGCTGGAGGGCGTGGAGGGCGCTGCAGTGTTTTGTGAACTCACTCTGCAGTGTTGAGCGATCTCTCCACCTACTTTCTGCAGCCTGGAAGCAGAAACAGGAAGCAAATGCGGGTGTAACCTGGGGTTGGAGATTGAGCCAGATAGTGGAGAGGTGGCTGTAGGTGGCAGGCGTGATAGTGAGAGCCTTGTAGAAAGACAGGGTCAAAGGGCTAGCCAGGGGCTGGATGCACAAGGCACGTGGGGCAGGCTGGGAGTTAGGGCAACTAAAGCCTTTTTGAGTAGATTCACTTAGGTATGAGTGGTGAGATGGAGAGGCAGGTGGTGGTTAGGAACGGTCCCGGAGGTAGGGAGACTGGCACATCTTAGGTCCAGGGTGTCCCATGGTGGCAGATGACCGAAATGAGGGAAGTTGAAAGCCACTGGAGTTGAGGAACTGGAGGCCGAGTGCCTTGGATATTGAGGCAGTGACCTTGGCAGACGGAGGAACTGTGGATGAGTAGAGTGTCCTGAAGGACATGGGTACCACTGGCACATCTTAGGTCCAGGGTGTCCCATGGTGGCAGATGACCGAAATGAGGGAAGTTGAGAGCCACTGGAGTTGAGGAACTGGAGGCCGAGTGCCTTGGATATTGAGGCAGTGACCTTGGTGCTGGCAGACGGAGGAACTGTGGATGAGTAGAGTGTCCTGAAGGACATGGGTACACACGGGGAAGTGACGTTCCTGTTTCCAAAGAATGGGACAGGCATTTAAAGTGGCACCAGAGAGCAAGGTCTGGCTGAGTCCTTTCCCTCTGTCTCCAAGATGCCAGGTAGGGAAGATGGGAAGAGGAAAAGAGTGACACTTGTATTGCAGGGACACGTGTCAGTTAAGGGTGGGAGATGGTGGGAGTCTTAAGGGAAAGTGGCTAAGATCTGGAGGAGCCTGACTTCTATGAATCTGTGCTTCCCATGCAGAACAGACAGACG